ATTTGTTATCTATTCTATACTGATGTATACTCTTTGTGTTGTGTGAATTGTAGCCTTTCAACAATTGGCTTGATGGTACACGGGAGGACCTTGTAGACATGTTCATTGTGCATACTATGGAAGAAATTCAAGGACTGCTTGACGCTCATAGCCAGTTCAAGGCTACCCTTGGAGAAGCTGATAAAGAATACAACTCCATCGTTAACCTGGTTCGTGAAGTGGAGACAACAGTCCAGAAGTACCAGGTGCCTGGTGGTTTAGAAAATCCCTACACCACTCTTACTGCTCATGTAAGTTTGTGTTTTTTGTAAATCTAAATGACAATTTCTTATTTTAGTTAAAAAGGGATGTTCTAATTTGTCAATGTCAATGAATAGTTTGTTGGGTAGGATATTAAAACTTCAGTGAGTCTGTGTGTGAAAACTGTAGTATTTTTCCGTCTTTTGTTGTGTAAAAGGCTTTGATTCCTTAAATCTTTCATGCTTGCAAGGAAGATTGTTAGAAATATGGAGGTATGGGTTCTTCTTTCTTGGTAGTGAACTAAATCCACCCATTTACTTCAAATTAGAGCACATACACATTTCTTTTAAGTGCCGCATTTAGACTACTCTTAACAAGACTGATCGACATTTATTTTGCTTGTGTGATACAACACACCATTACACACTTCTTTAGTAAAATTTAAATTTCTTAGGTCTTTTAGGTTGACTTTTAGTAGTGTTTCCTAGGAAAGGGAACTATCATACTGAAAACATTCTCTTAATTTTTCCCTTATTTCATGTTTCAGGATTTGACAAAGAAATGGTCAGAGGTACGACAACTTGTACCTCAACGTGACGCCACTCTCCAGGCTGAGCTCCGTAAGCAACAGAATAACGAAATGTTGCGTCGCCAATTTGCCGAAAAGGCAAACCAAGTCGGACCTTGGATCGAAAGACAGATGGATGCAGTCACTGCTATTGGTATGGGCATGCAGGGCTCTTTGGAAGATCAGCTCCATCGACTCAAGGAATATGAACAAGGCGTGTATGCCTACAAGCCTCACATTGAAGAGCTTGAAAAGATTCACCAGGCTGTACAAGAGGGCATGATCTTTGAAAACCGGTAAGACATACAATGTTTCTATGGGATGAGCTCAGGTGTTCTTTTTTCTTTTTACTAATCTGTTCTCTGTCTTGCAGGTACACTGCTTACACCATGGAAACACTACGCGTTGGATGGGAGCAACTCTTGACATCCATCAACCGCAACATTAACGAGGTGGAGAACCAAATTCTGACAAGAGATTCAAAGGGCATTACTCAGGAACAACTCACAGAGTTCCGCTCAAGCTTTAACCACTTTGACAAGAACCGCACTGGACGTCTGGCTCCCGATGAATTCAAATCCTGCCTAGTTAGTCTTGGTTACAGCATTGGCAAAGACCGACAGGTACCATTATACACATTCTCTCGTGTTGAATTTTTAATTTGTTGTTTAATATTGTATGTTTTAACAACATTAATTATTGCTTTCAGGGTGAAATTGACTTCCAACGCATCCTGGCTATTGTCGATCCCAACAACACTGGTTATACTCACTTCGATGCTTTCTTGGACTTCATGACTCGCGAATCAACTGACACTGACACAGCTGAACAAGTTATTGACTCCTTCCGCATTCTTGCAGGAGATAAGGTAACATACTGCAAATTTCATAATATTGAACTGTGCAGACCTGTTGTTACTCATTCATTAATCAATCAATGCTTATTTTTATAGCCCTACATTTTGCCTGATGAGCTCCGGCGTGAGTTGCCTCCAGACCAAGCTGAATATTGCATCCAGCGTATGCCTCCATTCAAGGGACCAAATGCTGTTCCTGGGGCATTGGATTACATGTCTTTCTCCACCGCATTGTATGGAGAGTCAGATTTGTAAGTTAGCCTTAAACAAATCTCCAATGGTTATATCTTTCTCCACCATGCAGTGCCGGCTACAGCCATGTTCAGTGCCATACTCTGACCCATCTATACCTTTGGTCAAAATTTCCTTTACTGACTGACCATTGTATCTTAAAATTATGAAACTATGATTTAAAAGGTATAGTAGAAAATGGGCATTTTGACAAACTAATTACAAGGGACAAACAGTTGTCAAATTTAGGAAAGTCTTATAGATCTTTAAGAATTCTATTTATTTTTATGTCCTACAAATTTTATACTTTTATCCTTGAAGGTATATGAACTCGGACTGCATTCAATTGCATTTTCTTAACAATGACATTATGCATTAGATCGTGCATACAAGTCTGAAACAACAGTAACTGCTCATTTTCTCTGTGCATAATCAAAAACTTGCCCACATATACATACAGGAATTTAACAGTATTGTGAGGCTAATTTATGCAGGCAATATTTCAATCATACCTATGGAGACATTATTTAATGTTTCCTGTTCTTAAAATTTTTTATCTGTATATTTTTTTGGTGATTTTATCACATGGCCTCAATAGGTACTTTTTTAACAAACTTGTAATTATTTTCCTGTAGGAAAGAATGAATTGTGTCCATATTTGTATAGTTCCTTGTATTCAAGTATTTTAAATATCCTAAATGTCATACCTATTTGTTAGGGTCTTATCATGCTTTTCAAAAGTTTTTAACATTTGAATCTCAGTAAATGATCAGTGAATCCTTCCCTGTTTATCAAATAATTACTTTTTTCTATCGAGTGTCCCTTTTCCCTGTATGTGGGACATACCAGTCAGTGTAGACCACCTGGCTTTGTACAATTTTTCTTTCAGAATATTTATCAATTGTAGTTTATTTTACCATGATCATCTGACAAGTGACAAGTGTCTATACCTAGTTCGTACTCTGTTTTTTTAATTTATTGAAATCTGTTCAGTTTTCTGTTAATCTCAATTCCTTTCTTGCCAACTGCAATCAATTCAGTGTGAAGTACAAAAGGGAACTTCCTCTGCTTGCAGGACAAGCAATTTTGTAACTTCATCAGGCCAAATTATGAATTGATAGCCTTTAAATTATTATTGTGAACTCAGCTCAATTCATAACTTCTTAGTTTGAAGATTTTATTTGTTTGTATTGACAGCAAAAGGGACAAGGAAATTACAACTTGTACTTAGCATTTTCTTAATGTTGACAAATGAAGAAAGTATTCATGAGAAAGTGTGGGTTGATTGGACTTTTTTTTTCTTTTCCATTGTATGTAGTTTCATTTTATCTGTCTAGTCATTCATTTTTAATTAATTTTGTTTTGGCTGTTGTGTACAATGCTTAAAAATAAAAAAAATAGAAAAACAGAAACTTATGAAGTACGAGTTATTTCATTCTTATTCCTGCTATGCCTTTACATACCCCGGTGAAGTCACTTTACACTTACACACATAGTTTTGTTGTGCTTCAAGGGGCATTCACATGATGATCACAACCTATTGCACCATAAAAGAACTCGACAGAGAATATCTTGTGAATTAGAATATGATTATAAAAAGAGCAAAGAAAAGTGGTGACAGTTCAAGATGCAGTCGACTGGTTAAAAAAACAAAAAATCAAACACACAGTAATTTCAATTTTCTATTCAACTTTGATTTTTGTTGTTTTAAAGGTTCGCGCCAAATTATTTAGTTCAAACCTTCCAATGAATTTTTCATACAGCAGACGATGCTCATTTGTTGTTTTGTTGTTGTTTTTTGTTTTTACATGCCAACCAATCAAATTATTGTTTGTGTGTTGTCGCTGTCCTGTCAGTGGATCAGTGCATGGATTCTTTTCAAAAGTGGCTATTTTAGAGGAAATTTGAATTCTTTTGCACAGTAAACGAATTCAAGACACTTAGTAGAAACCAAGTGCTTAATCTAAGGGTCATGAAGGAAAGCCTGCGGGATTCTATCATCGGTGTGGAGGTGAATCATTTTGTTTAAAGAGCCTTTAATAGTTGGTGCGCTTTATTAAATCTTATGACCTTGCACTATTCACATGTCATTTCAGTGATCTCGCAAACACGTTTATACCCTTGTCTTAAGGATCTTTGCATTAATTAACTCTTTTTGTTTTGTGGTTCAGTTTTCTTTATCTCATTGCCTTGATTAATAGTTGAATGCTAAACAATACCTCAAGACCTTGATTTACGTATTCCCAATTTCAGTGAATGTATGAGTTCACTTTTAAAAATTAAATGAAATTATTTTTGTCCCAACTAGGTTACCAAAGATTCAGATGTTTTGAAACCTCTTGGAGAGAGACTCAACGAACCTATGAAGAAGAAGAAGATACCACGTCGAATTCTTCATTTCAGTGATGGTACGCTGGAAGAATATAGTACTGATGAAGAGGAGGATACACCTGACTACAAAACAGACAATAAAATTACACACATTGATCCAGTAAGTTTTTTGCTGTGAGTAGTAAGAACTATGTAATTTTAACCTTTGACCAAATTGATAACAACTTTTTGTTCTTCTCAAATTTTAGAGGCAGATGACCTGGTTTCCTTGGATGTGGTACCAGGCTGGAACTGCAGCTTCTCAAACTCTCCAGGTGTGTGATTACCTTGGAGAATCACTTGCTAGCTTTTTTGGTATTACAACACCAAAGTATCAGTATGAGATTGAAGAGTATCATCGAATTGTTGCAGAGGTGAGGTGCAATCAGTTCAAATGTCTTAGTTCTTGTTGTGATTTGTCCCAGAAAGCAAATCAGAGGTTTTGTACATTGTGATTACTAAATGTTTTGCTGCGTACTTCTTTTCAGGAAAAGGAAATGCAAAGAAAAATGGATATGGAAATGGGAGGCTGGGTATCCTCCAGTCAAACTGAGACAGTGGGCAGTCAACCCGAGATGTCGCAAGCTAGGTATTAAATTTCAAAACTAATTCTATGTCATCTTGCTTTAACCAGCTTTCAGGAATATCTTAATAATTCTAAAGCACTTCGTATGTTGATTTAAAAAAAAAATTAAACTTGATTCTTGTGCAATATAAACTGCTGTCTTGAGCATTTTTACAGCTAGATCTCAGCTATTCATCGCCGTAATATTAATTAACTTGATATTGTTAATTAACTATCACAATCAGCTGTCATTTTAACAGAAGCAATATGTATTAAATTTGCTATTACTTTCTATGCTCATGGCAAAACTTACATAGCTGCGTGCAACTGCTTCCCTTAATTTCTAAGTTTATAAGCTTTACTTACCTAAGACACTTTTTAATATTTTATGCTGAGAATGTGTTTCCCTTAGAAAGGTTTGTACAATGATGTAACTGTGATACACACTTAACCATTATATCCTATCATTATTGCTGTGAAATGCACAAATTGCGATGTGGCACTCTAGTTCTACAGGAACTTTTGAATCAGCATTGTATTTCTAGATTTTCCTTCCAGTAAGAACTTACATATTTGTTAAACAATGACAATTTATGTTTATTTGAATGTATTTTTATAAAGATTTTGATCTCTATTTTGTATGGCAATATTTTAAAAGATATTTATTTATAGCAGGAGCAAATCATGACCAATTTATGTCATGCTTATTAACTTCTGCCTTCCCATCTGTCCCCTTTAAACATATCACTCCTTCACATTTTTCCAGTGAACTGGTTTGAATGGAATACTAGAACACATATCTCATTATAGAAACTGTCTCTGCTGTACAACACGCTGCTTATAGCGAGAGCAGGCGCTGCGATTTGCTACAAAAAGTTTCAGGCCTGCTAAAAATGTTGCTGCAAATGCTTGTTTGTGGATACTTTTATAAAATTTGCGATATGGTGTTTGATGTGCTGTGGTGGCTGTGTGGGCATTTTAAAAAGCTTCTGCCACGTTCCGATGAATGTTATTTGAAGTTTTGTTTTTTAATTGTGAATTACAAAATAATAGTGCCTTAAACTTAAAGGAAAAGTCTATGACCTACTATATGTTGCAGGCTTTGGACTCATGGACAGAAGGGAAGACCTGTCTAAAGGGCCCTATATATGGTATATAGAATGTTACAAAATAAAATCATATTATGTAGTCAATCAACATGTGTATATTTACGTATTCCGACTTCTCCCGCTCCTCATGAAACCAAAATGAGGTTACACAAATGAATCTGAAGCTAGATATGCACCGCACCAGCATGGGCTGGTTGCGAGTCTCGTGAGTTCCCGGTCCCATCGCATCGGTCAGCCCAACCAAACGGCCCAACCCTCCAGCCCAGCCCCCTCCTCCCCGCACCCCTCACCGCACGCGCCCCCACCCCATCCAACCCTTATCTGGCATCACCCAACTTGCTCTAGATTTTTATCGCTGGCCCGACGCTAATTATTTCAGGACGTCCGACTTCTGACTTTGCAGCACGCCCCTCCGTGTCATAATAAATCTGGGATGAGGGAAGGGTTGACTGCGGGGGTAGGCAGGTAAACAAACATTGGTCTTTTTTTTCTCTTTGTCATTTTGTGAGCACGATGCCGCCTAAATTATTCAAAGGAAAAGAGGCGAAAGCCAATTGGTGCACAAATGCAAACACGCCCCAGGATATCCACCTCTATCAAGAATGGGACACTTTCGACGTCGGTATGTGTTTCGTGCTGCTGCTATTTTACTCGGAATTGAAGATGTCACTGGCTGGCATGCGAGGCCGGGGGCTGACGGGGCGGCCCAGCCCTCTGCCACTTACAAAGATAAAACCATTACTTGGGCGAAACGCAACGAAATGGTAGAGAAGGGCAAATCTAGCGGCCAGACGACATGCGATGCGTGGGCATAGCGCGGGCGGCGGCGGGGGGTTGGGCTGGGCTCGGCTGCGCGGACACAAAACGGCTTTAGCCAAGGCTGGTCGTAAGCTCCGGCTCATGATCAGGCGGCATCAAGTCCGGTGCGTTACTGCGGCAGAAGCGCTCACGCAAGCCTGCGCAAGCAGAGGCCCTGGCCCTGGCCTCCGGCAGCGCGCCTGTGAGAGGGGGCATAGGCCACCCGGCGCACGGCGGCGTGCCGTATGGCCTACCTCGCGGGCTGCACGCGCCCCGCGCCCCGCGGAGCCCCGTCCCCGTCGTCGAGAGCCCCGCGGGAAAAGGGATGACTTTTAAAATAGGTTTCTCTTCAATGGAAAGACAAAGCAAGGTAGGGCTCGATGGCTTTTAATGCCTTTACAAAGGAATTAAAAGTTATCACCCCTGCAAAGGCATTAAAACTGCCCGCCAATATGTGTGAAAATTTAATGCCTTTTGGACACCTTTGTGCCTTTGCAAAGGCATTAGAATTTAACACCCCTAGAAAAGCATTAAGTCCTACCTTTGTTTTTCCAGTGCTTACCTCCTGGCAACAATTTTAAAAGTGTCGCTCACACGTGGAGTGCCCGTCTCGGCGGGCGCTGTTCACGGCGGCCTTCCCCGGCACTCTTTTCTTCGAAGGGCACTTTCCGAGTGTAACTGACGGGCACTAAAATGAAGAGCCTCTGCTTGTGGTTTGCGCGCCGTGTGCTGCGGAGAGGGGGTAGGGGGATAGGAGGGGGAAGGGGGAGGGAAAGCAATGGAAGGCCATTAGCGATGTATGTTGAGAGCTCTCAGACCGCGC